GTGTGGTTTTTTTTTTTTTTCCTTTTTTTTTTTGGTTTCTTTTTCATTTTCTTTTCTTTTCTTTTTTCTTTTTTTTTTTGAGCTTGCTCTTATGTTTTAAGAGGTGCCAGGGGTACATTTTTGCACTGATATCTAAAGATGTTTTAAAAAACACTTTTCACAAAAATAGTCCTTTGTCATTACATTATTTACTCATGTGTTTGTACATTTTTGTATGTTAATTTATGAATGATTTTTTCAGTAAAAAATACATATTCAAGAACCATACCCTGGTGTTTGTCTCTCTTTATCTAGGACAGTCCGGCTCCTTAGAGGCCTGTGTTCTTTCCCGTGGGAGTTTAGCTCAGGCCGCTCTCCTGCCGCTCAGTGGACCTGAGGCCAGTGCCGGATGGGCCCGGCAAGCAGGACAGCTGTATGAGAAACTCCGTGTTGCTGCAGAAGCCCTGGATGTCCCCCACACCCATGCCATCCGGGCATCCCCACACACACTTGGGGCTTTCAAGAATCACCCAGGTGATGCCAATAAAATAAGAAAAAACACCACCTGGGTGAGGGAAACTAGGGGAGGGGGACAGTGAGGATTTATGGGTTCCGATCCAGGAGGTTCTCTAAGGCGTCTAGGGTTTACTCTGCCTGATTCTGCTCCTATTTCTTAGATGGGCTGACCCTGTGACCCGGTGGGATCTGGATCCCACATGGCTGACTGCAGTTCGAATCTTGATTTTAACGGCTTAAACATGCCAGGTGCATATGCATGCAGGCCCAAAATCTGCAGAGGGATGGAGAAGGGATTATTGCAGTGTGACTAGGGGTGCCTTTCTTTGGCAAGGACACATACTCTCTGGCAACTTTATTAAAAAGGCTATTAGGGGCTCACAGGTGCTCCAGTGTTTGGGGTACTGGACTTGCACATGGCCTACCATGGTTCGATTCCCAGACCTGGCGTCTTGCTTTCTCACTTTCCATTTCTCTCTCTGGTCAAATAATAACAAATAAAAAGAAATCATTCTTTTTTAAAAGTCTATTAAGTCTGTTATTTACCACTCACAATATTAATAGAGGTTAGAGTTCTGCGTGCAGGTCCTGAGGACATAAGGAGACTGAAAAACAGTGAATCAGCAACCGAGAGGCCACTGATGATGCAGCAAGAGTCCTTTGCTGAGCTGCTGGGGGAAGCCACCTGGAGTGGCCCGGAAGGAGATGCAGCAGCTCGGTAGGTGTCTCGAGTTTGATGAGCCAGTGAGGAAAGGCTGGGACTGGAGGAAGGTGGGAGGTCAGAGAGGGTGTGGGTCTGGGTTTTCCAACAAGAGATGCTCGATGTCTGGGCCAGGGGTGAACCTCCACCGGAGAAGGTAGCGGAATATATACCTGAGAGAAAGGGGTACTAGTGGCAGGGGTGGGACCTGAAAAAGCAAGAGGAGGGGCCACCAGGTGGCATGGTGGTTAAAGCTGCTGGACTCTCACATGGCTGACCATGGTTCAAATCCTGGACTTGGTGGCTTGCTTTCTCACTTTCCCTCTTTCTGTCTCTGATCAAACTGGAAAATAATAATGATAATAAATAATTCTTTTTTGTAAAAAAAGGCAAGAGGAATCAGTAGCTCATCTTAGGCTATCATGTCGGCAGCACTGTGAGAAGACTGACCTTAAGGTTAAGGGCTAGAATCTCTTCCAGCTGATCACCGGAATTGAAATTTGGCAGAGTTGATCCCTGGAACTATCTCTTCCATCCCACTCTCTCCTGACTTGGGGGAGACCCAGTAACGGGAATACTAGTTCCCATTTATTGAGTACTTGTTGGATGTCGGTCTGTGCTAAGCACTTGCTGGATGGTAAGTCCCACCTCTGCGGGGTCCACGTTGCCCTCGTTCTAGAGTGGGCTCTCCCAGCCTCATTCTGCCATTCTTTGTGCAGGGCGTGGGAGGCGGGGAGACTGCTCTGTGCACTGTAGGGTGTGAGCAGTTCTGCCTTCTCAACACCAGCCAGAAATGTCACCAGATACCATAGATGGCCCCTGAAGAACAAGGCCAGCTGTTGCTTACAGGAAGAAAACCACAGCTTGCCTGAGGTCAAGACCCGCTGAGCCAGCGGGGGGCGTTTTTTACCCAGTGAAGGTAGGCTACTTTCTGCTTGTGTCTTTATTAGCTTTTGTTCGCAGGCACAGTTTAAAAAGTGTTTTTATGAGAAAACTCATGAATACATGTACCCTGGAAAAAAGTTTAAAATCTCCCCTTTAATATAGTTTGGCTGAGGTCTCTATACATACATCCACATATATGTATCTACATGTATGTATCAGGAGATTAAAAAGACGTATAATTTTAAAAGAACAAACAGAAATTGCCCTGCAGTTGCTTTTGGTCTATTATCGCAATGTTCTCGCAGACCTCTTCTATGTCTGAAGAGCCGCCTCAAATAAAGCTCAGCTGTCACCTCCAGGGAGAGGCCCCGCGGAGGCCTGCAGTGCTGCCTGCCTCACTCCTCCTCCGCCCGCCTTCATAGCTTCCTCAGCCCCACTGCAGTGTAATCCCACAGAAGTGGGCACGTCTTTGTTCTCTGCTCTCCCTCCAGTGCCACAGGAAGTGCTCAATCAATGTTTGTTGAGCTTATCGCACTCCTTCAAGTGGTTGCATAGAGCAACCCGTTGTGTGGCTGCACAGAATGTATTTAGCTGGTCCCCTCCCGATGGACTGGGAGGTGGGTTCCCGTTCTCCATGGTCACGTCGTGGGTACCATCGTGAACACACTGCATACGTGTGCATGTGCACACATGAGCAGGCCAGCTCGAGAGTCCATGAAAGGACATCACTGGAGCAAAGAATGCGTGATTTTTAAATGACGGGACATACCATGTCCTGGAGAAAGGCTGTGTGACCCGATCCTCTGCCATCTGCGTGACCTTACCATCGTGCCTTTATTTTTTAAAAGACTTATTTTATAAAACTTTATTTTAATTTGACCTGAAAGGGACAGAATGAGGGGGAGGGAGTGAGAAAGCAAGCCGCCAGGTCCAGGACTCAAAC